TTGCGCATGACCCAGTGTTTAGGGTGTAAAGCTGTCGCCAACACAACAACCACACCCTGAGTTAACGAACTGCATGACCCAGTGTTTAGGTTGGCAAGCTGTCGCCAACACAACTAACCACCCTGAGTTAACGAGCTGCATGACCCAGTGTTTAAGGTGTAAAGCTGTCGCCAACACAACAACCACACCCTGAGTTAACGAGCTGCATGACCCAGTGTTTTAAAAAGTTGGAGAAGCTGTCGCCAACACAACAACCACACCCTGAGTTAACGAGCTGCATGACCCAGTGTTTGGAATTGAAAGCTGTCGCCAACACAACAACCACACAGGTTAACGAGCTGCATGACCCAGTGTTTGGTGTAGAAGCTGTCGCCAACACAACAACCACACCTTGAGTTAACAGCTGCATGACCCAGTGTTTAAGGTGTAGAAGCTGTCGTAACACAACAACCACACCCTGAGTTAACGAGCTGCATGACCCAGTGTTTAAGGTGTAAGAAGCTGTCGCCAACACCAACCACGCCCTGAGTTAACGAGCTGCATGACCCAGTGTTTAAGGTGTAGAAGCTGTCGCCAACACAACAACCACACCCTGAGTTAACAGGCTGCATGTCCCAGTGTTTAGGTGTGAAGCTATCTCCCTTCAACAACCACACCCTGGAGTTAACGGAGCTGCATGACCCAGTGTCAAGGAATAGTCAGAAAACCGGACAACCCAATTACTGCTGATTAGACAAAGGCAAATGGCGTAAAAAGTTTCGAACCCGGGTCCACTCGTTTTGGTGAGGGTACTGACCATTACACCACAGGCTGCCAGATAACAACACCACCATTGTTCTCACGTGTGTCAGGTCTCACACATGGTGGTTTAACACTGTCCTCACACCACCGTCAGGAGGGACTGTCAGGTAGTGTTAAGTTAAGCCCTGTAGGTCTCTCCTGGGTGTATCGATCACGTGTTTAATGGTCAGACTAGACATTCATCATCACTAATGTCATCACCATCATCACCATCATCACCATCTTCACTACTATATAAAGTTTCCCACAGTATATTGCTAGAAATCTTGTATGTAAATAATAATTCTTATACTCTCTTTCTCTCTCTCAAGGATGGCGTAGAAATTGTACTAAGACTCGATGCATTTTCTTACCCACAGGTGATTTACAGAATTAACTTACGAGTGTTAGAAAATAGTAATATGACTCCCAAATTTCTCTTAATAATTGTATGTAATTAAGCTATTGAGTCTGTTAAAAGGAAGCCGCCATGTTGGTCTGTATCCCCCTGTATATAATTTGTTTTGGGTCGACAATAGATCATAAATATCATTTATATTTATGATGTTTTATGGAGTTTCTTAATTAATGTTCATAAACACAGTTATTTTCAACGGTGTTTATGTGTTGTGTGTGTGTGTGTTTTTATAGTTCTTCATCACTCACGTACGTTTGTTTGTGGGGAAAATTCTGGTAAAATATTTTGGTGTTGTATCCTCTTGCCGCCAGCTGGCCGACAGTGTTACCACCCCGGGCACGTAGCCCCACGTCCTTCTGCACCAGACAAGTAAAGAAATTATGAAAGAATTAAGGTCCTGTGGCGCCATTTGGTGTTGGGGGACTTGGCAACACTGTGAGCAACGTCGCAGGAATACTGATACTTGGCGCGGGAAATTCTCTAACTTTTTAACAATATCCTGAGCTTTGATATACAAACTTCAGATTAATGCTCGCCCTCCCTCCTACCACACAAATTGTTATTACCCGCCATCCAACACTTTTTATTGTTTCTTGCTTTTTCTCAAGATTTTTTTTCTGTACATTGGGAGAAAAAATGTTGGAGATATGAACGCCGTGTTGATGACGTCACAAGAAAACACGAAAAATTAATTAGAAATCTAAAAAACGGAACTAAGATTATTTAATCAACTCAAATACTACAAATTTTACGTAACTGAAAAAAAAAACCAAAGTGATCCATTTTTTAATTCCATTTCAAATTAGAAATATACTTAATGATGGCGTCAAATATAAACACTACTACTTCAGATGTTAAATTCTTTTATTGGTTTATCAAACATCATCATTATTTTCCTTCATAAAGGTTCCAATAATCACAAATATTACATTAATATTAAATCAGGAAAAATAAAAATTCCCTTAAAATTTATTATTATTATTATTATTATTATTATTATTATTATTATAAAATGTGATTATTGAAAAAACACTGATTATCAACATTATAACACAACATACCACAACATAACACAACATACCACAACATAACACTTCATCTGTAACACAACTATACCACAACATAACACAACATACCACAACATAACACATACCACAACATAACTACACAATAACACTTCATACTGTAACACAACATACCACAACATAACACAACATACCACAACATAACACTTCATACTTGCCAACATACCACAACATAACACAACATACCACAACATAACACAACATACCACAACATAACACTTCATACTGTAACACAACATACCACAACATAACACAACATACCACAACATAACCTTCATACTGTAACAAACATACCACAACATAACACAACATACCACAACATAACACTTCATCTGTAACACATACACAACATAACACACATACCACAACATAACACTTCATACTGTAACACAACATACCACAACATAACTATACCACAACATAACACAAGCATAACACTTCATACTGTAACACAACATACCACACATAACACAACATACCACAACATAACACAACATACCACAACATAACACAACATACCACAACATAACACAACATACCACAACATAACACTTCATACTGTAACACAACATACCACAACATAACATACCACAACATAACACAACATACACAACATAAACAACATAACACTTCATACTGTAACACAACATACCACAACATAACACAACATACCACAACACTTTATATACCACAACATAACACAACATACCACAACATAACACAACATACAACATAACACAACATACCATAACCTTACTTCACTTACAACATACCACAACATAACACAACATACCACAACATAACACAACATACCACAACATAACACAACATACCACAACATAACACAACATACCACAACATACCACAACATACCACTTCATACTGTAACACAAACAAGCCGACTGGCCACTGGTCACAGATGTCTCAGTTGCCAATTATAACTTTATCTCATTTATAATTTGATGGCGACCAAGGACACAATTTAGCGCGTCTATTTAAGTTTCTCTGATTGAAAGTTTGTGAAGTCACTGTTGGGGAGTGTGGGGTCACTGCTGGGAGGAGTCACTGTTGGAGTGTGGAGTCACTGTTGGGAGGAAATTCACTGTTGGGGAGTGTGGGAGTCACTGTGGAGGGGTGAGTCACTGTTGGGGAGGGAGTCACTGTTGGGGGAGAATCACTGTTGGGGAGGGTGGAGTCACTGTTGGGAGAGAATCACTGTTGGGTGAGGAATCACTGTTGGGTGAGGGAGATCACTGTTGGGGCAGGTGAGTCACTGTTGGGAGAGTCACTGTTGGGGCAGGGGAGTCACTGTTGGGGGTGAGTCACTGTGTTGGGAGGAATCACTGTTGGGGGGAGTCACTGTTGGGAGGTGGGAATCACTGTGGGGAGGAGTCACTGTTGGGAGGTGGGAGTCACTGTTGGGGGTGGGGTCACTGTTGGGAGTCACTGTTGGGAGGGGAGTCACTTTTGGGGGTGAGTCACTGTTGGGGAGGGTGATCACTGTTGGGAGGAGTCACTGTTGGGGAGGAGTCACTGTTGGGGAGGGGGAGTCACTGTTGGGAGGTGGAGCACTGGGGGGAGGAATCCTGTTGGGAGGAGTCACTGTTGGGGAGGTGGGAGTCACTGTGGGAGGGGAGTCACTGTTGGGGCAGGTGGTCACTGTTGGGGGCAGGTGAGTCATTGTTGGAAGTGAGTCACTGTTGGGAGGTGGGTCACTGTTGGGAGAGTCACTGTTGGGGCAGGTGAGTCACTGTTGGGAGGGTGAGTCACTGTTGGGGAATCACTGTTGGGGAGGTCACTGTTGGGAGAGGTCACTGCTGGGGAGGGATCACTGTTGGGAGGAGTCACTGTTGGGGAGGGGGATCACTATGGGAGGAGTCACTGTTGGGAGGGAGTCTGTTGGGAGAAGTCACTGTTGGGGAGGGAGTCACTGTTGGGAGGAATCACTGTTGGGAGGGAGTCACTGTTGGGGAGAGTCACTGTTGGTGGAGGTCACTGTGGGAGGAGTCACTGTTGGGGACAGGGAATCACTGTTGGTGGAGGTCACTGTTGGGGAGAGGAGTCACTGTTGGGAGGAGTCACTGTTGGGGAGGTGGAGTCACTGGGAGGGGGAATCACTGTTGGGAGGTGAGTCACTTTTGGGGAGGTGGAGTCACTGTGGGGAGGGTCACTGTTGGGAGGAGTCACTGTTGGGAAGGGGGAAGTCACTGTTGGGGTGGGGAATCACTGTTGGGGAGGGAATCACTGTTGGGGAAAGGGGAATGTCACTGTTGGATCAGGAAGGAAAGTTACTGTTGGAGAAAGGAAATCACTGTTGGAGAAAGGGGGTGTCACTGTTGGATCAGGAAGAGTTACTGTTGGAGAAAATCACTGTTGGAGAAAGGGGGTGTCACTGTTGGAGAAAGAAGTCACTGTTGGAGAAGGAGTCACTGTCAGGAAAGGAAGGTAAACTATACCCTACCTTTCAACCGTCATTCTCCCCACCTGTTTACCTGTTGACCTCTCCTGACCTAACATCATTACTCCCACCTGTATACCTGTTGACCTCTCTGACCTAACACTCTGCTCACCTGTATCCTGTTGACCTCTCTACACGTCATTAACTCCCCACCTGTATACCTGTTGACCTCTCTGACTAACATCATTAACCCCACCTGTATACCTGTTGACCTCTCCTGACCTCTCGTTCCTCTAACCTCTGTCTAACCTCTCCACAGATGGGGTACCTGGAGGTGCTGCGCCCCCCTGAGATAAATGACACCCTGAGCTCTGGGGACGTGGTTGCTACTGAAGGTGACAAGGCCTTGTTAAAGTGTGTGGCGACGGGGCATCCTTCACCTTCCCTCACCTGGGTTGGGGACTCAGCTACGATCATGGTCTCCGATGGCCTGATTACTAAACCAGGTAGGTCCTCTCTCTCTCTCTCTCTCTCTCTCTCTCTCTCTCTCTCTCTCTCCTCTCTCAGCCTGCCCTCATTATAAAGAATCTATAGCTGTTTTATGCTCATCCTCTTCCCATGTCCAAAGGAAATATACTAATCCTTCTCTACCTGTCTTCCCATGTCCAATAGTGTCGTCATGGGATGGAGAATCACTCGAGTTGAACCGCGTGTCCAGGGATGACATGGGTGCTTACCTCTGCATAGCCAGGAATTCTGTGCCTCCCCAGGTGTCCAAGCGTGTCCAGTTGCACGTCCACTGTGAGTTTTTTTTAAGATATAGGGATTACTGTATAATGTATGTCCAATGGGTATTTCTGACATATGGGTATTGTGTGTTTTAGGACATGGTGTATAAACGTGTATATCTCCACATGAACCTCTAAATTAACTCAGATTAACCCATATTAACCCATATTAACCCCACAATTAACCCCCTCTCCCTCCCCACAGTTCACCCAATTATCCACGTGCCCAACCAGCTGATCGGGTCACCCTATGGTAGTCAGATAACGCTGGAGTGTAAAGTGGAAGCCTCACCTAAACCTGTCACCTTCTGGCAGAATAGTCAAGGTGGTGGTGGTAATGTAATGGCAATAATAGCGATGGTGGCAGAGTTAGTAGTAGTAGTAGTAGTGTAGTAGTAGTAGTAGTAGTAGTAGTAGTAGTAGTAGTAGTAGTAGTAGTAGCACACCCAAAGTGATAAAATGCAACAACTGATGCTACAATTGCCAGAGAACTTGAAAAAAGTAGCTATAGCGCAGGAGGTGGGCGCCTCGAACTGACTAACAACGTTACCGATAAGGGCAAAAGGCTTCATCCTTAATAAACAAGAATTCACAGATGCCATTGCTCTAAGGTACAGTTATTGAGTAAAAGGTTTGCCCCCCACCCCCCTCCCCAATGCGTGTGGCTCATCTTATGACATTGGCGACGCCATGGTGTACAGAAAGGGGGCTTCGTGTGCATGAGGCATGACGAAGTAAAGGATCTCACAGCAAATATGTTGAAGGAAATCTGCCATGATGTCATGGTGGGACGGCTTCCCCTTCCATTGGACGGTGAGAACCACCATCACAGGACTGCAACACATCCAACGAAGCCCGTGTGGACGTCAGTGCTCAAGGATTTTGGACGGGATAGCGAGCCTTCTTTGATATCAAATTCGACCCCATGGCTGCATGTCCCCATAACCTGACTCTGGAGGCTGCTCACAGGAGGAACGAGAACAAGAACAGAGGATAAACAAAAGTTATTCAGAACGTGGACCACGGCAGCTTCACTCCTCTGGTGTTCACAACCATGGTGGGATGGGACCAAGTGCAGGATGCGTCTACGTCAGACTGGTGCAGGTGTTATCAGAACAGAAGCAGCAGCCTAGAAGCTACGTCGTGACTTGGTTGAGATGTCGCCTATCAGTCTCTTGGCTCAGGTCTGTTCTGCTGTGTCTCAGGGGAACAAGATCATCGGTCCCTAAACCAACAACAGCCACAGACACTGACTATGAGGCAACAGTCACTGAATGTGGCATAGATCTGTGGCTACAACTAACTCAGCTGGGGTAGTTACTTTTGTACTAGGTGTGGCTATAAGGGGAGGCTGGAGGCTATTAAAAGGTAGTAGTAGTGGTAATAGTAGTTATGTAGTAGTAGTTGTAACAGTAGTAACAGTAGCAGTAGTTGTAGTAATTGTGCAGCATTAATAGTAGTAATGATATTAGTCACGGACCACATAATAGCTCAGAACGCAACAGGAGTGAATGATACGTGTAAACAAGATTCGGATCCATTCCGACAGAACGACAGCACAGCCAAAGTGATAAGTTGCAGCAACTGTTGTTGAAAGTACCAGAGAATTTGAAAAAAAAGTAGCTATAGCGCAGGAGGTGGGCGCCTCGAACTGGTTAACTATGTTACTGATAAGGGCAAATGGTTTCAGTCTCAATAAACAAATTTACAGATGCCATTGCTCTAAGGTACGGTAGACCAGTAGAAGGTTTGCCTCCCAATGCGTGTGTGGCTCTTCCTATGATGGCGATCACGCCATGGTGTAAGAAAGGGGCTTCATATGCATGAGGCATGACGAGGTAAGGGACCTCACAGCAAATATGTTGAAGGAAATCTGCCGGGATGTCATGGTGAACAACCCTCCTTCCATTGGATGGTGAGATCTTCAACACAGGACTTCAAACACATCAACGAAGCCCGTGTTGACGTCAGTGCTCGAGGATTCTGAACGCGTGGACAGCGACCTTTCTTCGACATCAGGATTTTTGATCCCATAGGCGCATGTCACCGTAACCTAGCTCTCGATGCTGCACACAGGAGGAACGAGAACGACAAGAGAAGGCATATGGGGAGAGAATTAAAACGTTGATCAAGGCAGCTTCACTCTCTAGTGTTCACAACCTCTGGTGGGATGGGCCCAAGTGCAAGATGTTTCGCCAGACTCGTGGAGTTGATCTCGAACAGAAGCAGCAGCCCAGAAGTTATGTTACAGCCTGGATGAGATGTCGACTGTCCTTCTCTCTCCTTCGGTCGGCTTTGCTCTGCCTCGGGGAACGGAGCTTCTGCCAACTCCGACAGCTGCTGCAGATATTGACTATGAGGCAACAGTCACTGAATGCCGCATAGATCTGCAGCTCAACTAATTTAACACAGATAGGATAGCTACTTATGTATTAGGATATTTAATATTAAGGTAAATAAATGGTGGCGAAGGTGTTGGGCTGTGAGGCTGAAGGACGTTTTGTTAAAAAAAAAAAAAAAAAATAGTAGTAGTAGTAGCATCATTTTAACATACTATTTTATTTTAATCTAATTTAAAGAATTATCACAAGATTATGATTGTATTAGAATAAATAAAAATGAATAACATAAAAATACTGATATTAAAAGTTTATCTCTCTCTCTCTCTCTCTCTCTCCTCAATTAACCCACTTTCTTTAACTGTAACTCACTCACTCATTCACTCTCACTCACCCCTCCCTCACCACCTCTCAAAACATTACTCACCCCTTACCCCCACTCAACATTCCCACTCACCCACCATCACCCCACTCACTCAACCCACTCTCACACCCTACAGGAGAGATGTTAATGTCGTCGACCAAGTATCGTGTGAGCGAGGAACACAACAAACCTGGGGGTTACGCGGTACACATGAAGCTTACCATTCACAACCTCACCGCTGCTGACATCGGCCACTACACCTGCGTCGCCAAGAACTCCATCGGTGAAGTCGACTCTACCATCAATGTTTACTGTGAGTGTGTGTGTGTGTGTGTGTGTGTGTGTGTGTGTGTGTGTGTGTGTGTGTTTGTGTTTGTAGAAAGGAGGGTGAAAGAAGATGAGGTGGGGAGAAGAGTTATAGTTCGGAAACTGAAGAATTTAGGAGGAGGTAAGGGGGCGGGCTGACCGCCTAGCTAAGCTAGTGTGTTAGGGTTGTGTCATGGGTTAGTTATTGTCAGTCGGTACAGGCACTAGACATCCTACCCTGTCCCATATATGGGTGTTTAAGGGCCTTATTTCATATTCCGCCGACCCTACTGGCGGATGCTGGTCTAGGAAGGTTGTCTATTGCCTGGCCGTGTAGATCGGGGGTGGTAATGGACCTTTTGAGATTTGGTAACTTTTGGGAACCATGTATGGTTGTTGTCGTTATCTGGTGGGAGTCTTTGGAGGAGTTCTTGCTCTGATCGTTCTATCTTTTTGCAGATTCTGCTGGCCAGGGTGTGCAGCTGCTTGTTGATGGGTTTCATTCTCAGGTCTCTATGTATCTCGGCTGTGGTTCTGGTGAAGGGTATCTTTCACCTGTGACGAATCTTAGGGCCATTTTTGGACCACCTGTAATTTTAGTATTTGAGTGGTGCTCATAGTATGAAAAGGTATTGCTGGGTAAGTTAATATCGGTGTGATAAATGATGTAACCAGTGTGTGTGTGTGTGGACGGAGTTGAGGGAAGGTGTGGGTTGGATTAGGTTAGGTTACCATATAAGATTATAATATTATTGCATTTTCATGGCCAAAACACCGATATAAGAGAGAGAGAGAGAGAGAGAGGGGGGTGGGGATAATATGCAGTAGTAAACAATGAGACGGGAAGGAGGAAGATGAAGAGGAAGGGAGAGGAGAGAAAGGAAGAGGAGGAAAGGGAGGAGAAGGAAGAGGAGGAGAAAAGAAGGGAAGGAAGAGAAAAGAAGGGAAGGGTAAGGGGAGGGAGAAAGGAGGGAAGAGGAAGGAGGAAGGGGAAGAGGATAGAGAAAGAGGAAAGGATGGGTAAGTGGGAGAAAAGAAAAATGAGGGAAGGGAGGAGGAAGAGGAGGGAGGAAGAAGGAAGAAGAGGAAGGAAGAGGGAGAGGGAGGGTACAGGAAGGTATCTCATTCCACGCGGTCTGGGCAGATAAGCCGGTGTGACCAGCTAATTATGTGTGTGTGTGTGTGTGTGTGTGTGTGTGTGTGTGTGTGTGTGTGTGTGTGTGTGTGTGTGTGTGTGTGTGTGTTTAGTTAGTGGTTGTGGTATATATGTTTGGAGAGAGAGAGAGCCGCCAGTGTGTATGTTATGAAAAGAGAGAGAGAGAGAGCCGCCAGGTGTGTGATGTTATGAGAGAGAGAGAGAGAGATTCCTCCAGCCTCCTCTCTCTTGCTAATCCTAGTCAACAATACCTCGACTCTCTCTCTCTCTCTCTCTCTCTCTCTCTCTCTCTCTCTCTCTCTCTTCTCCTCTCCTCTCTCACTGACCCCCATTTCCTTCATTTCACGGTGTGATGACGGCGGTGACACTAGTGAAGAGGGGGGGGGGTGAGTGGGAGGGAGAATGGTTGAGAGAGGGCGAGGCATAGTGGAGGTGAGGGAGAGAGGGAGGAAGAGTGGGTGAGTTTCATATGAATGTGTGCAATGGTCAGCATACTCGCCTCGCAAGTGAGTGGACCCGGGTTCGTTCCTGGCAGTTTTTTTTTTAGTTTAACAAATTTATTGACAAAGCTTGGAGTACAGTTTGCCTATTGTGAGTAATTCAGTCAGGTCTTGACACTGAGGGTGGTATCACTCTCACTGCCACGCAGGACAGAGGTTCATACACAAAGAAATACAACATATTCATTAACAGCTCACACTGATTAGTTTTCAATTAGAATATGACGTCCAATGTATATGAACCACTGTCCTGCATGGCAGTGAACAGTGACATCACTCACATGATCCCCGGGCAGGGTGAAACTATGGGCAAGTTTCTTTCAACCATTTGCCTCTGTCTACCCAGCAGTAATTGGGGACCTGGATGTTAATCGATTTGTGGATCGTTGGCGAGTTGTCCGGTCTTCTCGGACTATTCCTTGACACTGGGTCATGCAATTCGTTAACTCAGGGTGTGGTTGTTGTTTTGGCGACAGCTTCTACACCTTAAACACTGGGTCATGCAGCTCGTTAACTCAGGATGTGGTTGTTGTGTTGGCGACAGCTACCTTAAACACTGGGTCATGCAGCTCGTAAACTCAGGGTGTGGTTGTTGTTTTGGCGACAGCTTCTACACCTTAAACACTGGGTCATGCAGCTCGTTAACTCAGGGTGTGGTTGTTGTGTTGGCGACAACTTCTACACCTTAAACACTGGGTCATGCAGCTCGTTAACTCAGGGTGTGGTTGTTGTGTTGGCGACAGCTTCTACACCTAAAACAAATTCACGCCTAGGTGGCCCTTGGGCCGGTCATCCTCGTTACACGAGGGGCAACCATGATATTTTGGTATCTATGTATATGTACTCCTCTCCAACCCCTCCCCTCACTTACTAAAACTCCGTCATACTTGCAGACATCGCGCCCCCCACCACCACCCCTCCAAGGACGGTACCCAAATTCATCGAAACCAACCGCATCGAGGACGAGGGCACGCCCATGTCCTCGCCTGGAATCCTCACCGACTCGGGCATGGCAGACGTCACGGACCGGGATATCTACCGCTTGGGGTCGGCAGAAGGCTCGGGAGACAAGTGGCAGACCTTACCCAAACACAACCCAGGGTCCTTCTACCCGACCACTGGGGGCGCCTCACACACCGGCGTCAAGTCCTGGTTCCCTCAGAATAGCGAGAAGGATACCTCTTCTTCCTCCTCCTCTTCCTCATCCTCCTCCTCCTCCTCCTCCTCTTCCATCATCAGTAGTGGCTGCGACAGGGGTTTAATCTACCATCTCAGTGTGGTAGAAGTGTTAGGGCTAATACTTACACTAGTATGGCTTCGACCTTAGGAATATTGTGCTGTACTGTACCTAAAACTCTCATGCTAACCCAAGCCACTCATTATAGATCATCACAGTGTCTCAGTACCTACCTACCTACCCACCCACCCACCCACCCACCCACCCACCACCCACCCACCCACCCACCGCCATTGTAAACAGTGCAAGCCAATCCACCCATATTAAGGTGTACGTACAGGTTTACTGTAGCTCTTACTACACTTACAATACACCCAGCATCTGGTCCCCTACCACAATCACTACCACACCTCTACCACAGTCACTACCACACTCACTACCACACCCTCTAAAACCTCACTACACCTCTACAACACTCACTACCACCTCTACCTCCCACACCTCTACTACCTCACTCCACACCTCTATATTTCTACCACCTTCTACCTCCTCTACACTCTCCCACCTCTACCACACCTCCTACCTCACTACCTCTACTACCTCTACCTCTACCCTCTACCTCCCTACCCTCCTACCACACCTCTCCCCCTCCCTCTACCCTCTACCACACCTCTACCTCCTACCCACTCCTACCACTCCCACCTCTACCCACACCCCCAACCCTCACACCCACCTCCACTACCACACTCCCTCCACCTCTACCACCTCACTCCCACCTCTCTCTCTCCATCTTCCTCTACCACCTATCTCCACTACCTACATCCTCTACCACATTTCTGCCACACCTCTACCTCACTACCACCTTACTACACTCCTACCACCTCCTACCACCTCCCTCACTCACCACCTCTACCACCTCCCACCACCTTCCTACTACCTCTACCACCTCACTACCACACCTCTCTCCCCACAGTACCACCTTACTACCACACACTCTCCTACCACACCTCCTACACCTCACCTACATCTACCTGCAACCACCGCCATCTACCCTACAACCACCACCACATCTCCCACCTACAACCACCACATCTACCACACCTACAACCACCACCACATCCATTTCACATCGAGTATAGTCACAGGCATATACAGCAGCCATTAAGAAACCTTACTAACTTATGGATAGTATTAGGATGGTCATAACTTGTGGATAGTATTAGGATGGTCTAACTTGGATAGTACAGATTAGGATGGTCTAACTTGGATGAGTACAGTATTGGATGGTCATAACTTGTGTGGTACAGTATTAGGATGGTCATAACGTGGATAGTATTGGGATGGTCATAACTAGTGGATAGTATTAGGATGGTCATAACTTGGATAATACAGTTTGGGATGGTCATAACTAGTGGATGGTACAGTATTGGGATGGTCATAACTTGTGGATATACAGTATTAGGATGGTCATAACTAGTGGATAGCGTGTAGGATGGTCATAACTGTGGATAGTATTAGGATGGTCATAACTAGTGGATAGTATTAGGATGGTCATAACTTAGATAGTACAGTATTAGGATGGTCATAACTAGTGGATAGTATTAGGATGGTCATAACTTGTGGATAGTACATATTAGGATGGTCATAACTAGTGGATAGTATTAGGATGGTCATAACTAGTGGATAATACGGTATTAGGATGGTCTAACTGATGGATAGTATTAGGATGGTCATAACTTGGATAGTACAGTATTAGGATGGTCATAACTAGTGGATAGTATTAGGATGGTCATAACAGATGGTACAGTATTAGGATGGTCATAACTAGTGGATAGTATTAGGATGGTCATAACTTGTGGATAGTACAGTATTAGGATGGTCATAACTTGTGGATAGTACAGTATTGATGGTCATAACTTGTGGATAGTACAGTATTAGGATGGTCATAACTTGGATAGTACAGTATTAGGATGGTCATAACTAGTGGATAGTATTGGATGGTCATAACTGTGGATAGTACAGTATTAGGATGGTCATAACTAGTGGATAGTACAGTATTAGGATGTGTCATCACGTGGATAGTATTAGGATGGTCATAACTTGTGGATAGTACATTGGGATGGTCATAACTAGTGGATAGTACAGTATTAGGATGGTCATAACTAGTGGATAGTATTAGGATGGTCATAACTTGTGGATAGTATTAGAATGGTCATAACTTGTGGATAGTATCAGTATTAGGATGGTCATAACTAGTGGATAGTATTAGGATGGTCATAACTTGTGAATAGTATTAGGATGGTCACAACTTGTGGATAGTATTAGGATGGTCATAACTAGTGGATAGTACAGTATTAGGATGGTCATACTTGTGGATAGTACAGTATTAGGGATATAACTTGTGATAGTATTAGGATGGTCATAACTAGTGGATAGTATTAGGATGGTCATAACTTGTGGATAGTATTAGGATGGTCATAACTTGTGGATAGTATTAGGATGGTCAACTTGTGGATAGTATTAGGATGGTCATAACTAGTGGATAGTACAGTATTAGGATGGTCATAACTTGTGGATAGTACAGTATTAGGATGGTCATAACTAGTGGATAGTATTAGGATGGTCATAACTTGTGGATAGTACAGTATTAAGATGGTCATAACTTGTGGATAGTACAGTATTAGGATGATCATAACTAGTGGATAGTATTAGGATGGTCATAACTTGTGGATAGTACAGTATTAGGATGGTCATAACAAGTGGATAGTATTAGGATGGTCATAACTTGTGGATAGTACAGTATTAGGATGGTCATAACTAGTGGATAGTATTAGGATGGTCATAACTTGTGGATAGTATTAGGATGGTCATAACTTATGGATAGTACAGTATTAGGATGGTCATAACTAGTGGATAGTATTAGGATGGTCATAACTTATGGATAGTACAGTATTAGGATGGTCATAACTTATGGATAGTACAGTATTAGGATGGTCATAACTAGTGGATAGTATTAGAATGGTCATAACTTATGGATAGTACAGTATTAGGATGGTCATAACTAGTGGATAGTATTAGAATGGTCATAACTTGTGGATAGTACAGTATTAGGATGGTCATAACTAGGCTGATGTTAAACTGGCGAGTAACAACAATAACTACAACAACATTGACAACAACAACCATAACAACGAAAACAACAACAAAATCACAACCACAACAACAAAAATAACAACAACAACTACAACATAAACCATAACAAAAAACAGTAAATAATAACAACCACAACTAACAATAATGATAACTACAACAACAACAACCGTAACAAAAACAAAACAACAAAAATAACAACAACAACTACAAAAACAACAAAAAAACAACAATCACAATAACAACTACAACAACGAAAACAATAACCTCACTCATAACATCATCCACGACAACGACGACAATTACAACACCATGAATAACAACAATTAACACCTTCAATAACAACAATTAACACCTTCAATAACAACAATTAACACCTTCAATAACAACAATAATAACTACAACTCTACAAGGTATAACCACAACATCATTAACAACTAAAACACTAATAACACAACAACAACTATTACTACAACACCCTCTATAACAACATATAAATAACCACAGGACAAATAGCAACTGCAATCACAACAGTAACAACCTCATCACCTCTACCGACCACAATTAACAACCACAACCACCACAATAACCAGTATTAACCACGACCCTTACAAACAACCAACAAAGGCAACCCAAAACAACAATCCACAACCTCGCTGACTCAGGCATGTTTCCCCTTCCCCTACAACTTGCGTCACAACACCCTATTTTCTTCCCACAATAACAACCCAACATCCTTCCCCACAATTACTCGTAGTTTACACAACAGTTATAACAAGTATTACAACTCTGCAGCATTGACAGTAACATAAAAGTACTCACAAGTCTCTCATACGCAAATTCTTAGGTCTCCGTTTTCTGTTATTGAACGTCGTTAGATATGGTTTTCTATGATATATATTTAAAGGTAGACTACTAAATATGATTTATTGGGAGATTTCCTTCATTATCTCATTATCACTAGTGGCGAATCCAGGATTATTTTTACGAGGGGGAGGGGGAAGGGGGAGGGGGTGGGTTAAGATTGAAATATTTACCAAGAATATTTAATAATTTCTTGACTTTTTTTTTCATATGGGATGGCGAGAGGGAATGACCGAATTAAGGCAGAGATAGGAAGGAAGAAGGGAAACAGCAAGAAGGATACAGAAGGATGGGGTGAAGGAAGGAGGGAAACAGGAAGATAGGGTGAAGGAAGGAGGGAAACAGGAAGATGGGGTGAAGGAAGGAGGGAAACAGCACTAACAGGAATCTAGGAAGCATTGGTGTATATCAGTGAGCAGAAAGAGAGGATAGTATTGAGTGGTGAAATTTCTGATAAACAAAAGAGTATTTAATTCTTGGTCTCAACTCCCCCCAACAATATGTATCGAATCAACTTTAAAAAATGAAAAATAAGATAAGTTATTTCTGTTTATTTCTCATTAGAGATTAAATACAATAAATATATATTAATAAAAACCCGTACCTTAATGCTTCGTCAGACCTCCCCCTATTTCCCGCCTCTTGCCCCTAACATATATTTTAAAGCAATTTTATTTTTGTTTATCCCGTCTTGTCTTTCGGTAATCTGGAAACAACTGTATTATAACGAAAGTCAACGGAGTATAGACTAACCAAGAGGACAGTTTCACCATTGTTAAAATTTATTTCCTCAAGGCTAATATTTTTATCAAATAATTTAATATTAAGCTTTAAAAATATAGCCTATAAGCGGTTTTCATGATACATCTAGTAGCAACATCTCCTCGGCTCACAGTTACCACAACACCGTCACAACACACCTCTACACTCGAGCACACATGGTTTACCTTCCTTCAAACCTTAATGACGCATAGCACTTTTTTTTTCCCCTGGACGCAATACACTATGGATAATAAATACCCTTGCCTTATTAGATAGCCAAAGTGTGTATGTTTGCACTTAAAAGCTCCGTACGAGTAAAGTGTTGTTTTACCCATCTTGAGCATATCGTTTTCTCATTATCTGGCTACACTGACCTGCGGCCACTAGCCATTGTAAATAAGTAGAGATATCCTACTGGGCTGAAACCTATACTGTAATTTTAAGTTCTAAGCTCTGTTACTTATGAAACCTGTTACTTTAAGTCTTAAAT